TTATATCTGATTTCTAAACTTCTGCAACAGCCAAGGAGCAGGCTGTCCCTAGAAACCACAGTGGTGACTCTGGCTGTCAAAGACTTCTGTGTTATATCTAATTTCTGTTCACTGTATTTATTGGTAATATAGTTAACAAAAACCCAAAATAAAAACCAACCAAACAAACAAACAAAAAGAAAGAAAGAAAGAAAGAAAGAAAGAAACAAACAAACAAAAAAACCTTCTTTGTCCTCATTGATCTTCTCTGTAGAACACCACTAGTGATGTACCAAGGGCCCCTGCAGCCTGTTAAATGATATGAAAGAAGAGGATGAGAAGCCTTGAACTTACAAGTGTCAGATTCCAAAGAAACTGTGGGAACTGGATCCAATTTCAGTGACACTGATAAACAGTGTCATTAGATGAGAGAAAGAAAAAGCCAGATTTATGCTTATATTTATCCTCATAACAAAGAGCTATTTAATCAGTTATACTATAAATGTGACTAAAAGAAGAAAGATTTGCATTTACACAATAAGACTAGATTGCTGAAGACTTTGAATGCCCATTGGGATAGTCCCTTGGTTTTTTTCTAAGAAGAGCACAATTGAACACATTTTGAGCTAGGGTGCCTTTTTATATGTTTGTTTTTTTGAGACACAGTTTCTCTAGGTAGCCCTGGCTGTCCTGGGACTCATTCGGTAGACCAGGCTGCCTTGAACTCAGAGATGCCACTGCCCCTGCCTCCTGAGTGATGGGATTAAGGCATGGGCCACCACCACTCAGCTTTATTTCCTTTTTTTTTTTTAAGTGAGTGTGTGTGTGTGATGAGTGTTTTGCTTGCATGTATGTTTGTGCATGTGTATGTATGGTGCCTGCAGGGTTGTTAGATCCCTTGAAACTGTAGTTATAGACACTTATGGACCTATAGGTAGATTATGGGATCAAATCTGTGTTCTCTGGAAGAGCAGCAAGTGCTCTTATCCACTGAGCCATCTTTCCTGCTCCCAGTTAGTGTACCTTCTAAACCTCTGTACTATTGATATTTTCACTAGATAATCCTGTGATGGGCTGGGGTTAATCTGAGCATTACAGAATATTTAGGAGCATTTCTAGCCTATGATACCTACTAGATTCCGGCATCATTTTCCTCTTCTCAAATTAAGACAAATGTCAAAAAGTGTTTCCAGGTAGTGCCAAATGTGTCAGGAGGAACAACACTGTCACATGATTGGGAACCATTAACTGGCAAATAACAAAAAAACAAGTGCTAAAAATTCAATGCGCAGCTGCGGTAGTGTAATGATCTGAAAGCCAGCTGGACAAGATGGAAGGTATGTATATATTAGTGGTTATCACAGTGTCCTTAATGTGAGCTGTTGTCCAGTAGGCCAGTAATGGGCTGCAGAAAAGCATATACCTCACTATCCATGACTTCGTGTGGTGCCTTTTCATATTGACTTAGGTATTTCTTACATGACTTATTCTGGTCTATGGAACATCATAACCATGACACAGGCTGAAATTTAAAAAGAACTTGTGCATAGAAACTTAAGGTCTAGGAATACTTCCAGCATGTGAAACAGCCAGTTTCAGTCTTCCGAAGGCATAGGCCAGCCATCAGCCAGCATCTTTCTCTGCACTACAGTGTTGGGAGCCACAGGTCTGCCAGCTTGCTTTGATATTTAGATCTCAGCAGAAAGGAGAGGAGGTGTCCCCAAATTCCTTACAAGCTTGTTCCAAATTCCTTAAAAGCTTGTCTGTGTGACCTTGGACCATAACTGCTTTAGGGAATTAGTTTTAGAAAAGTACTATATCTGCTATAGGGAGGTAGTTTTTGAAAGGAAGTTGGGTATTTCCACAAACCTTTTCTTTTTGTATTGATATGACTTGTTTTTGCTTTACCTATAAAAAAATGAACCCTGGAATAAACCCACTCTGCTTCAGTCATATTGGCAGCCCTCTCAAGCCTATCCTGTGTGTAGTGTGATTTGTTTTAATTATTTTAAATCCTCACTCCCCACTCAGGTACTGTTCCACTCTGCTGGCGGTTCTGGCACTACAGAAACTTGGCAAGTGACCATAGACTAAAACCACCTAACTGAATCCTGACCAAATGGGTGACAAAGAACTTATGCAGAAATAAATGGTTACTGTTTAAAATGATTTTGAATATTGGCTATGTTACTAGAAAATGGAAAAGAAAATACCTCATCTAGGTGGTCTGGAGTAGGTTAATATTAGTGGAAATAAGATGCTTTCACATGACATTTTTAATTCCTGTGTTTCTTGATGACTCTAATGAAAGGGCTGAGGGAAGCGAAGAACAGGTCATAAAAGTCTTAAGAAATACTGGGTCCTAATCATGAATGAAGTTGTCTGAACAATCTTTAAGAAGACACTTTAACATAAGCAATTCAAAACCATTAAGTCATTTGTCTTCAAAACACACTCCCTACTGTCTACCTGCATGAGTATTAGTTTACAAAGATTCACTTTTATCAGCTTATGTGTAAAAGTTTAAAGGTATTGCCAAACTAGTCACTTTTTACATTACATAGAAAAATCAGTTTTTAGAATAAACAAGGATGTACGCAAAATCACTGTTTATGATAAAGCCCACTGGTATATTATTCTGATCACACATCACTACATTCAGTTAGGGATTAGAGCTGCTGAGACCAGAACTTCTCCCTTCTGGTAGAATGGTTATCATGTTTTACCAGCTATGTTTGTGGATGGGGCTGTATAGGTCTTACAAATCAGAGAGGTCTGTGAGTGTAACCATCTGTGGTCTACCATTCAGAAAGCATCAATTCCTTTGAGTGTAATCACACTCAGTGCACCACTCAAGGACGAAGACTCCCTCAGCATTCCAGCATTGAGCTTTACGCTTAGCAGCGTTTGCTCAGGAGGAAGGTGTCAGGTATTTGCCTCCACAAGCCCCTTGTTTTAAAACTAGAAGCCAAGAGAAACACAATCAGTGGACATCCATCTCATGAGGTTCCCGAGAACAGATACTATCAGGAACTGAGCTAGGAGCCCCTTGTGCTATATTCTGGCAAAGAATCAGGCTGCTTTCTGCCTGTGCCTTGAGCACTTGATTGAAGAAGAATTTAAACATAAGTTAAACATAAGGGACTAATAGTTTGATGATGTGATGGTAATTACCATTTTTCACCCAAATCTGCAGCAAAAGAGGAAACATGGAGCCAAAAGCTAAGAAAAACTTGACATTTGGAGTGGAAAGTTGTATGATCACTAGTTTAAAAGAGAGTGCACTTGGCAAAGTATCTTTAATATTGAAAAATTCAGAATCACTAAAGAGAAAGCCTGTGCTCTGCACTGAGACAAGGTTCCCTGAGTGCAATACCTTTTAAAGAATGGTCCATACTGTAAAGGAGAGAGCCTAAACTGAAACTCCTTAAGGAGTTCCCAGTTCAGATGCAACCACCTAAGGAAGTATAGTTTAGTGTTGTTATACAGAAACCAATATAACTATAGCCCTAGGGAGCCAGGCTCCATCCAGAGCTGGCACTAAAAGTTGGCAGTGCCTTGCACATTGTACTTATTCTACAGGCATGAAACATGTAGGGTTGAAGGGGTCCTGGAGTCTGAGGCCAGGCAGTATATGGCAGGATTAGCATGTCTTTAAAAAGGTTCTCACAGGGCATTGCATGAAGTTGTGAAGGTGAAGCCCAAATTGCAGTGAATTTTACAGATGACCACAAACGTGAACACTGCACAGAGAGTGATTCTGTGGAGCATTCAGCCCTTAATTGGATGCCTTTAACCAAGCTCCTCTCTCTCCTCAAGGTTCAGGGTTTTGTGTGGAAGAGGTGGCAGAAAGATTAAAAGAGCCAGGGGTAGTGGATGATTCCAGAGCAACAGTGTCTTTCACACACAATAGGACTAATAAAAGTATGAACCAACAAGACTGGCAGCACATACAGCATCTGCACATGTTCAAGCCAGAAAAATGTCCCATCACTGAAAAGGGGAAGTAGATGCAAAGTCCCACCTCGAATCAAGAAATCATATGCAGTTGCTAGCTGATGGCAATGGAGTGTCTCTGGTTATATTAACCACACTCCAGTACAGGCCACATAACCAGGAGTGATTGGCTAACAGTAAGCAACCCCCCTGCCCTGCCCTGGGTGTTTTTGGTTTTGTTCTAGGTGTTTTGTTTTGTTTTTTTAATGTCTTTTTGGCTCCCCCTCCACTTTGGATGGTTTGTTTGTTTTGTTGAGAGAGAGAGAGAGAGAGAGAGAGAGAGAGAGAAAGAGAGAGAGAGAAGGCTTGGAGTTGGGTGAGGAGGGAGGTGAGGATCTGGGAGAACTTGGGACAGGCAAAATCATGATTAAAATATATTGTATGAAAACTTTTTCAATAAAAATTAAAAAGAATGCTATCTCTAAGTGATTTTAGTATTAGTTTTCTCTAAGGCTGAGAAGTCATGAAGGGACAAAATTCGTTTTGATTTAGGAATATGGGCGATCAATGCGACAGTGCCAACCTATGTAAACTTAGAGAGTGTGGTCTTCCGCTACATTTTTCTTTGATTTTCAAAAAGGAAACTTGCATATAGGCAGAGTTACCTCGTGTCTGGAATGAAGAGAGAATACAGGGCCAATAACTTTAGCCAGTTTGGAATCTTATCCCTACCCACCATTTTCCGTTTTGTCAGAGGGTTAACATTACAATGCTCATGCAAGCACCGTCAGTACCTGGGGTGCAGAGAACGGCATTTTGAGTGCAGAGTGCCCCTAATTTCTGGTAAGTCTTCCAAAACTGAACAGCGAGACTGTCCAGCTGCTGCAGAAGAAAGCCTGGGAGCCACGCCGTGTCACTGTTGTACAGTAGGGTGGCGCTAACCCTTAGGGTGGCGGCAAGCGAAGCTCCTTGGTTTAGTGCAGCCTTCCGTAGGAGGCCGCAGCTGGAGGCCAGCGCCTCTCTCTGCCGGCGCCCCGCCTCTCCCGGACGTCCCCCCCCCAACCCCCCAGCGGCAGGTGGCGGAACCGGCCGGACCTGCTCCTCTGGCCGAGCCCCGGAGCTCGGAGCCCTGCGGTGGCCAGCGGCGCCATGGAAGCGGACGCGGACCCCGAGGAGCTGGCCCGGCTGCGCTCGGTCTTCGCTACTTATGACACGAACTGCTCCGGGCGCCTGGGGCGTGCGGAGTTCGATGCTCTGTGCGCCGAGCTGCACGTGGCCGAGGCCGAAGCGGAGGCAGTGTTTCGGGGGCTCGACACCGACCGCGACGGCGCCATCACTTTCCCGGAGTTCGCGCGCGGCTTCCGCGGAGCGCTCGGCCGGGACAGCGCAGAAGCCCAGAGCTACTGGGACGCGGCGGAGCCGGAGAGCCCAGGCCCGGCGTGGCGGGACTTCCACGCGCGCCTCGGAGACGAGGCCCAGCTCATTCCCAGGTGCGTGGTCAGGCGAGCGCCGGAGGCCTGCGTTTCGCAACCTGGACAGCGGTCTGTGGGTTGCTTTTTCTGTTCAACAAGTGGAGGCTACTTTTCCGAAAAGGAAAAGTCTGGAGTTGCTGGTAGGGAAGAACTTCGGGGAGTGTGGTTACCTGCCAAGAACAGACACCTGTAGCCTCTAGCGAGGCGAGGCTGGTACATTCGGTGACTCACAGTGACCTTAGAGACTTAGAGGGTAGCCTGATTCACTCAGAGGCTAGCCTAGGCAGTTTGCCAGTTTGGCATCCTATGTAGTAGTTGTGCATTTGTTTGCTAAGGCCAAAAGGGAAGCTGCAGTATTATGAACTACAGATACTCATTGATGTGCACTACTTTATTTTCTTTAAAGGGTACTTTGGGAAGTAGGTTTGTCTGTTTCTAACTGAATGAGGAGTTCTAGAACTTTAAATCCACTGGCCTCAAGGGACTTTCCCAGTTTAATTAAAAAACAGAAATTTGATCCCAGGTCTTCTAAGGTGAAAATTTGTTTTTATTCAGTAGATAAAATGACACAATCACACGATATATTGTCTGACCTTACAGATAGGAGAAAATAATTTATTATCATGGTATTAACTTTATTATCAATGGGGTAAGGATTACAAGGGCTATTTTAGAATCAGACCTTCACTTTCATCTTCCCTGCATTTCTGCTTTTCTCTGGAAATTTTTCTGGTTTGTGTTTGGAATTTAGCTGCGATTTTACTGAGCTCTGGCTGTTGTTATTTATTAAGTCCGGGAAGGCTTCAATTTCAGTGGCAGTTTATACAGCTGAGACTTAGGTCTCCGAGAAAGGAAACAGTCCTGGGTAGTGTCAGCTCCTTTAGATTGCTTCACAACACATACTTCATTATCCTAGTTTCTCTCTCTAGTTGATTAAAGGAATTTTGTGCAGGGAGGTTAGTGACTCACTGTGACATTATGTTGAGAAACTGGGTGTGAGGGCTAATCCCTAGAATACACGTGGGGAAAAACCAAACAAACTCCACAGTGTCGCAAACAGGGAAGTAGAAAAATTTAAACACTATTGCTGTAGGCTATGCCTTTTCTTCAAGCCATCTCTCCTTCACATCTAATTAATATTTAAATTAAGAATTTAAATAAAGAAGGGAGAGATACTGTGTGTGAGTATGACCATTCTTCTTTTTTCTTCATCAGATTTCAGTAGCAGATATTTAACATGCAGCCTCACAAGATTATATTGATTTTTCTATAATCAGTTCTCAAACCAGGACTTAAGATAACTAGTGGATGATTATCACCATATTTCCCAAATTCTGTCAGAGGTTATTAACCTCTGACAGAATTTGGGAAACCTCTATTAATAACCCTTCTGATTATTATTATTATTAACCTCTATTAATAACCCTTCTGATGGGAGGTTAACAAGTACAGTGTTTGCTTTCTTGTGTTGTTCAAATGAAAAAAGCACCAAACTGAGTTGAGCCACCTGATTGCTTCCATGGCAGCAATAAACTGTTGTGGTAAGTTGGGTGGCTGGCACTCTACTTCCTCATACAGTTGTTCACATTTTCTTTCTTCTATCTACACTTGGTTAATAAAACACAACAAAATTTCCTGTCTTTGGATCCCTTTCCCCTAGCATAGCTGCTTTGTCAGGCCTCAGCAGGAGAGGATGCCCTTAGCCCTGCTGAGATGTGAGGTGCCAGGGAGGGTTGATACCCTTCCGAGAAGAAGAGGGAAGGAGGGGAAGAGAAATGGGAGAGGGACTCAGGAGAGGAGGGAGCGGGCTGAGATCAGGCTGTAAAGTGATTAAATATATAAAGAAAAAATACATTAAAATACACACAAAAAAGAAATAACACACACACAAACCCAACAAAATGAAATCCCCACACTGATTTGTTACTGATATTCTGCGGCATTATTTTAGGCATGTTAGTCCTATGAACTTTTTTGAATGCCCCAAAGATGCCAAATACTATCTTACCATTTTTTTCAGACCCCTGGGGAAAAAGTCAAGGAAGAATGGAGTTCCCATCCTCAGCAAGCTTATTATGTATCCAAAACATTTCTTAGATATTTTTTAAAATAATAATTAAAGGCTAGTTAGGTATTTGTAGAAAATTGTGAACTGCTGTAAATGAGAATTGTCTTTGATGTTTTGAAGATTTTTTAAAAAGATTTATTTTATTTTAAATAATTTTTATCTGTCTGTGGGTATGTGCACATAAGTGCAATTGCCCTCACAGATTGGAGGTATTGGGTCTACCTAGAGATGGAATTAGAAATAGTAGTGAGCTGCCTGATGTGGGAGCTGGGAACCAATCTCGAGTCTTCTGGAAGAGCAGCTAATGCGTGTTGTAGCCCCAAAGGCTAGAATTTTAATCTTTTTAAAAGGTACTTGTTTATTTTACTATGTGATGTATTGGGATTGTTTTGATATAAAATATCATGTTTTCTTCTTCAGGGATAGTAAACTCCTCAGAAAGATGTGTCATTTTAGCTTGTTCCCAAACTGGTATTTATTTATTTTTTTTGAGCAGCCCCATGCCTGTCTAAGGGTATAAACATATCCAGTTTAAAAATGTACTAGAAATATACTAGATATAAGAATGTTTCTGTCCCATAGACGTAAAGCACGGTAGTGTTAATGAGTTTTGCATTTTAGATCATCAAAGCAAAAATGTTAAATGATTTTTTAGTTCACAATAATTTTGTGGTTAGAGATGAAACTAAACTGGACTGTAAATCGCTTTTGTGATGTATGTTGATACATGCTTATGTGTGTTTTCTCTTTAAGGGACTGCTTCCATTACATTTTGAAAGTTTGGGACCTGTTGCCCTGCATCTGGGAGATGTCAATATAAGATAAGGTCTTGTAGCAGTTGACAGAATAGGAGGCAAGGTGAAACTCTAATGAGAAAAAAATATAGCAAAAAAAGTGGTGGAGGTCAAGGGAAGTTCTAGAATTTGGGGAGATAACTGGCTGTAATGTGATATCCAGATACAGAGCAGATACAGTGCAGCCTAGCACATTTCGGAGTCTTGGTCATTATATTGGTGAAAAAGAGTTTTGTTGGTTGAGTTCTTGGCTCTTGCATTTGCAAAGAACAGTGACCCCAAGCTGGTTTTTCCTATTCTTTGGGTAGATTCCACCACTGCTTTTTAAAGTTACTGGTGATATTGGTCCACACTCTGGGTTTCTGTCTTCTAGAAAATGAGGAATTGAACAGAGACAGGTAGAAAAGAGCAGAAAGAGAAACAGTTTATTAGTTATACTTCCAGGAGAGGAAATAAGTCATTACAGAAAAAAGTTAGGAACTCAATGAATTGAGGCTTTTGTGTTAGATTTTCTGGGTGTTGGGAGTCATTAGCACATTTCAGGCTTTTTTGTTCAAGTTCTGTTACATCTCTCTCTCTCTTTTTAATTGACTGATTCTTTGAAAATTTCACATATACGTTATATTTCTAATACACTTCAAATTATTCCTTCTAACCTCTCTTATCTTTCTACCCCCATCACATCCCCTTTCTTCCAAGTCTCTGTCCCACTTGCAAGTCTTCTTTCATTGTTTATTTTTGCTTTGTCACCCATTCAGTTTAATCAGGACCACTCATGGGTGTGAAGCTGTTGCCTTAGTTACAGTTTCTATTGCTGTGATTAAAAATCCAAAAGTAACTTTGGGGAGAATGAGGTTATTTCATCTTAAACTTCTCAGGTCACAGTCCATCACTGAGGGAAGTCAGGGAAGGAGCTTAAGGAAAGAGCAGGAACTGAAGCAGAAGCCATAGAGGAGTGTTGCTTACAGGCTTACTCTATTAGCTTGCTTAGCCTGCTTTCTTAGATACTTTATACACCAGGGCTGGTACACTCCACAGTGGACTGGGCCTTCATATATCAATCACTAGTAAAGACACCGTCCCACAGGTTTGCCTATAGGCCAGACTAGGGAAGCATTTTCTTATATTTTCCTTCTTCTCATTAGCTCTAGATTGTGTCAAGTTGAAACAACAACAGCAACAACTAAATCCAAACTCCTCCCCAAACCAAACCAAACCAAACCAAACCAAACCAAACCAAACCAAACCAAACCAAACCAAACCAAACCAAACCAAACCAAGCCAAACCAAACCAATTACCAGTACATCTCCCTGTTGGAGCATGAGTGACTCACTAGTGGCTATACCACCGAAGACAGTGACTTCTTGTCTTTCTTTGCTGTCTTCCCCCCAATAACCCTCAACTACCATTGGCTTTCTTGGTTAGGATGGGGTCCTATGAGTCCCTGTGCGTCTGTTTACATTTGTATGTAAACTGGCTCAGTATCATGTAGGAACTATGCCATCAGTCACAGATGTTGTGAATTTGAGGGCCCAAAGATGCCCCTAAAACACTCCCTACAGCACCCCTTCTTAGAGTTGAATTCTTACATTCTTTTTTCTTCTTTTAAGTGATGTTTACTGAACTTTGGTGTCTTATTTAGTGCTGAGTACTCAACACTCACTTTTCTCAGTATCTTGACCAAACATGAATCTACATTAACAACTAGTCACTGTATAGAGAAGCTTTTTAAATCAGTGCTAAGGACAGCAGTAACCTCTGGATGTAAATATAAATATTTCAGAGGAAGTTTGACAATATGTCCATGTAGCAAAATGTATTTGTAACTGTGGTGGTTTGACTGAGCTGTCCACTGTAATCTTGCCATCTGAATACTTGGTTCTCAGTTGGTGGTACTGCTTGGGGCGGAGGGCTTAGGAATTGTGGCCTTGTTGGAGAAGCTATGTCATTGGAGGCAAACTTTGACAGTTTGAAGACACTTGCATTTTGAATTTACTCTAGAGACTTGCTTGAGGTTTAAGATGTGAGCATTTAGCTGGTTGTTCCAGCTGCCGTGCCTACCTCCTCTGCTCTGACACCATGTTCCCTAACCCTCTGAAACCACATGCATGAATAAACTTTTCCATCTATAAAATGCCTTGGTCATGGTGTTCTA